TAGCGTTCCATGTCACCATACAAATTTTGAGTAAAATTGATCCAGATTTGATTGAGATATGGTATTTTGGCCCCTCGTACGTGTCGCCCACTGTGAATCAATCATCTCCCTCGGTCGAATCAGACGTTGCCCCAACCTCACCATGCCATCTGCTCGAAGTCGGTCATCCCCTCGTCTACCTTAGCTGTACGTACGATCGCCAAGCCCGACTCGTCGACAAGAGCTGAGCAAATCAGACCAACTGGTTCCCGCCTTGGACGGACGGGTTGCATGAGATTTCGGGCGCCAAACTCATGGCGCGATTTGGTTAGCTCCTCGCGCAGAGTCGATGCGGTTGTCGAACGACAGCGTCGTCACAGACTGTTTGGGCGCGGCGGCAAGCGACGGGGGCGAAAACAAGCCAAGGCGAAGGCACACAAATCCAATATTGCAATATTGCTAGTCTGTTGATTTGGATTATTGGTCTTGGAAACACACGGCAAAGTGTCGGGATTCTAGACTTGGGGTATAAATATCGCAGGTTGTGGGATGGTACTACGTAGTATGTACGACGCCATGTACGTGTAACGATCAATGCATGCTGCGTCGAGTATACCTCGCCACACTTGACATGGGACGATGTCCTCAAGGTCGTGCGAACAGCCAGCGCATGCACGACTCGAAAGAGTGAGCGTGAATCAGCTGGGGATCTGACTTTCAGGTCATAGACAAAGTTGGCACGAGTTGCAGACGACAAATGGGCCACCATGGTCTGAACATAAAGATCACGAGCAGCAGCACTTTTTGGCGACAGCTTGTAGAAAGATACACCATGTTTTTTACCACGCTCATACCCATTGGTGACTAGAAAGCGCTGGACGGACCGCAAGCAATAGGCCATGCCACAACCTTCATGGCTTGATAAACTTGACAATTCATATTTTCTCATTGTCGTGAAAGAATAGATTGTTGAAGTGTCGTATGTTTTTGTGTGCCACCAGGATTCTCTAAAAGCTTATTGTATAATCCGTTGGCCCCTCGTACAAACTTCTTGAACTCAGCCTGTGTCATGAGAGCAAACGGGTGGTTGTAGTCGAACGTGGCTTCGGGGTTGTTGCGACGGGCCTCTTCGATCGCGAGCTTGTTGTCGTAGAACCGCTGGAGCGCGTCGTTTTCCGCCTCCAACGGGTCCGAGCTCGCGGAGGCACGGGGAAGCACACCCTGCGCCGCGGCAGCAGCTCCAAACTCTTGGCGCCACTTGCTCAACTCGGCGCGCAACGTGGAGCGCTCATCAGGGGAGAGCGTGCGTACGGACTGCTTCGTGGCGGCAGCGGACGCGACGAGGAGTGCACCAAACAACTTCATGCTGGTCAAGGGGGCACAGGGTGAATTATATAGTGGATTGCGCGAGAAATGTGTTGCGTCAAGCTGGTGCCGATGGGGCTTCTGAGAATACTCAAGTTGATTATCGGAAAATCAGTCCGGGGCACAAAGCGTCGAATTGCAGGCTTTCCGCCGTTGTCGGCAGTAAATGACCACGGGCTCAAAGTGTCTGTATTTCACAGGACGACCTGCAGTGGCTCAGGCTTCACAGATCGATGTGACCAAATTGTACCCGGCCAAAGTCGCAGGTCGGAATGGTCAAAATGCGCCGTCATGCAGCAAACAGGAGCGCGCTGATACGAACTACATACTACGTAGTATATCACGTGTTGTTTTGCCTGGAGCTGCTTTTGTAAACCGTCGACCACAACGTACAACTGACAGTGGTCGACAGGTACGAGGGGCCAACGGATTATACAATAAGCTTTTAGAGAATCCTGGTGGCACACAAAAACATACGACACTTCAACAA